GCTTTATTCCAGCATGAATTAGCATGTGCTTCTTAAGGTTTGATTTCTGTGTAAAACTCTTTCCACACTGAGAGCAGCTGTAAGACTTTATCGCAGTATGAATTAACATGTGATCCCTCAGGTTTCCTTTACATATGAAACTCTTTCCACACTGAGAGCAGTTGAAAGGCTTTTCTGAAGAGTGAGTTACCAAATGATTCTCAAGGTGTCCTTTCTGTGTAAAAGTCTTTCCACACTGAGAGCAGCTGAAAGGCTTTATCCCAGCATGAATTAACATGTGCCTCTTAAGATTCTTGTTACATGTGAAAGTGTTTCCACACTCAGAGCAGCTGAAAGACCTTTTGACGTCTGTTTTTTGAATGCTGCAAATCACAGATTTTTCTCCATTGACATCACAATCTTTCTGATCCTGATATTTCTCCTCCACTTCATTCAGATCTCGTCTTTCGTCTTTCATTTGTATCAGGCCTAAAATGAAATCATTATAAAGATGAAAATCCATTGGTATGTTTGAAAAATAAAAGGATAAAATATTTGTGTACAGAAAAACACTGTCAAAACTGTCTCTTTTTAACAAAGATCAATGAAAATAACTAAAAACACTGCATTATGCTGCCAGGCCAGTAGATGGCGATGCCATTTTGTAAAGAAACACTACACATCAACAGCTCCAGCAAACAAGGTTCGTTCTTTGATCGCTTTCTGTAATTTAACAATTTAAATAACATTATATTCATGCTATTAAGAGAAACAATGTTTAGTTTGGTCTCTGGCTTGATTTCACACACACACACTAGGGATGTGCATCTCCATGACTGAGGCCGATACGTAGGGCTGGGCGATTTTTCCATAATCTTTGACCGAAGTTCACTCCCATCGTCTTGCATGTTTACCTATTTCACTGCCCGCGTCGCATCTTTGTCAACACAAAAGCACATTCTGTGTAAATGGCGCTTAGCGCTATATTAATGGTCCTTCACAGAGTGCGTACACGTGAGCGGTTAATCACGTGCACCAACATGCGGTTGGATGGTTCTTTTCTCATTACTGTTATCACCGGCACATTGTCAAAGTCTCTAATTCTAACACTTGGTAATATTTCTATTCAAAATCAATATTCCTCGATTTCTAAAAAATAAAATCATGGCAAAACATTAAATTCAAATTAATCAATTAAATCGGAAAAACCCCCAGCCCTACCGATACGCATCTTGATGCATAGCCAACGATACGATACATTAAAGATGCCATTTATTTCTAATGTTTGCAAATTCATGGATATATTGGTGACTATTAATCAGTAAGTAATTATTTTTACTTTGTTACTATACTTAAGTATATTTGTGAAGTTTCTGCACTTTATCAGAGTATTTTTTCAAGAAAGAAAGAACAAGTAGATAAAGTAGAATAGAGAGTGCTAGTGTTAGAGAAAGTGTAGATGGAAGCGATGTGTCACTAGCCATTAGGGATGTGCATCTCCATGACTCCAGCCCATCCGATACGCATCTTGATGCATAGCCAACGATACGATACATTAAAGATACATATGAAGTAGCTACCTATGCGATACGATTCACCCGTTATGATGCAGTGCGATCCAATTTTGATTCAACACAATGTGATTTGATGCAATATGATGCAATGGAAAAAATAGGATCACTTCTAATACCTCGAGGCCTGTTTCATAAGGCTTATTAAAAGGCTGTACCTTTTATAGATTGCAGAACAGATAGCAGAACATTACAATCTAAAATGGCTCTTTAAAGCATTAAAATAACTAAATTAAAAGTTAAAATCACTGAATTAAAAATGAAAATAAATAATATGACTACTTTAACTGGTATAAGAAACACACATTAACTCATTTGTGTCACGGTTCATGGGTCCGTGCGGTCCTTTTGCGTCTTGTCATGTGGTTGTGTGTGTACGTCACTCGTTAGTGGTTGCAGCTGGCGCTCAATCAGAGCGCGCCAGCTGCAACTCATTAGCGATTCCTTTATAGGACACCTTGTTCAATGTGTGTTTGTCGTTATTCTCATGTCCTGTCTCCCTGTCAGTTCTCTGTTTTCAGCTCTCGCTCAGTCAGGGTACGGATCTTCAGCCCTCGCCTTGGTTTGGCCAGCGCTTTGGGAGGAAGGCTTCTCAAGAGGAGCTCTGATCTTGACCAAGACCCCTTGTGTCTCCGTTGTTGTGGTTACCAAATAAACCTTATATTTGCACTTGGTTCCTGACTCTTCTCTACCGTGACAATTTGAGCTTAGTAATTAGTACTGTAGCCTCCTAGCTTACATGTGATTTACACAATAGTCCCTTTACAGTTACTGCTATCATAAAAATACACTTTATATGTAGGTTTAAAATGATAAACATTTAATGTCCAACAACAAATATTTTAACAAAATGTATATTTTACTCAGAATTATTGCGCTCCTATTCGATTGAGCTCTGTCTGTTTAGTGTGCTCGTTGCTCTCATGTGCCTCGCCCACTCCTGACAGCAAAAAAGATATGTTTGCATGACTTTCTGACATTTACAGATGAAGAACATAACTGTGACATGTCAGTTATGCACCGAGGAAAATACAACGTTTGCCATGGTGGATCGATTTGATCCATGATCGACATTAAGAGCTGCTTAAAAATAAACGTGCACAATAGTGAGATTGTGTGAACTTAATTTGTCGTTTATGGAACTGCTGTAGCCCAGATTGATTTGTTAGGTTATTTCAGGTCAGGTTTTGGACTTAAATCCCCCCTTTTCCTTGGGTCTCCGTAGTGTTGTGATATGTCATATTCACATGCAGCAGTGATGAGAGAGTTCGCTTGAGAAACAGTTTCGAGAGGAGAAATCAATCTACATGTAAAATATTGGCGAATCGGGGAATCTTCCTATCCCTAACACACACACACACACACAAAAAAAACATTGAACACTTTTGAGACAAATTAAATCTGACTGACCTTGAATAATTACACATCAGAAATCACTGATTACAGATCAGACATTAGAATAAACAAGTTTACTTCCATGTTGTGATAATGCTGTCAGGTATATGTAACCCTGGAGCACAAAACCAGTCATAAGGGTCCATTTTTGTAAATTGAGATGTATGAAAAATCTGAAAGCTGAATAAATAAGCTTTCCATCGATGTATGGTTTGTTAGGATAGGACAATATTTGGTCGAGATACAACTATTTGAATATCTGGACTCTGAGGGTGCAAAACAAATCTAAATATTGAGAAAATCGCCTTTAAAGTTGTCCAAATGAAGTTCTTAGCACTCCATATAACTAATCAAAAATTAAGTTTTGATATATTTATGGTAGGAAATTTACAAAATATCTTCATGGAACATGATCTTTACTTAATATCCTAATGATTTTTGGCATAAATTACAAATTGATAATTTTGACCCATACAATGTATTTTTTTGGCTATTGCTACAAATATACCTGTGCTACTTATGACTGCTTTTGTGCTCCAGGGTCACATATATCTTACAGTAAAACTCCGTTTGCAAAGCCTGCTGCAAAACTGTTACCGATTTACAGTGAAATGTAACGAACAAGCAAATAATGCTCTACTGAGACATTCACATGATTTAAAATAACCACAGTCCTATAGCTACTTTAGTTCAAATGTGGCTTCTAATTTAAAAACAAATTGAGTCTCACACGCTCGGAGTTCAACACAGTTTTATGATTCCAAAAAGCAAAAATAAAGTCTAATTAAAGTAATAATTAAATATCCTTGATGTCAGGTCACTCACATTTCCATAAGAACTTTAAAGGAGTCATATGATGCGATTTCAATTTTTCCTTTCTCTTTGGAGTGTTACAAGCTCTTGGTGCATAAAGAAGATCTGTAAAGTTGCAAAGACTAAAGTCTCAAAACCAAAGAGATATTCTTTATAAAAGTTCAGAGTTAACCACGCCTACCTAAAACGGCTCGTTCTAACACGCCCCCACATACCTATGTCACGATCTGGGAAGATTTGCATAATGCCGAGTTCACACTGCACGATTTTCAAACTCGTCAGATCGTCAAATGCCTCGTTTGTAATGGGTTTTAATGTTTTTGTTTGGTTGCTCCGACCGGACACGGCATCAACAGTATGTGAGGGGCATAACATTTCTATCTCACACTTGAGGTATTCGGCCAATCTCAACGCACTGGATAGCTGTCCAATCACAGCACACCTCGCTTTTTCAGACCGATGAGCTTTGTAAAAATCGACGTGTTTCAAAAAGGCGGGGCATAGAGGAGAAACAATAATGTACAGTATGTGGAAAATAATGTTTTTTTTAACTTTAAACTGCATAAACAAATTTCATTACACCAAATACAAATAATGTTCTTTTAGCAGCATCATATGACCCCTTTAAAACATGGATTTAAGATTTTAATCATAGTTAAGGTCTTATTTTTACACAAAGGATCTGTGGCTGTACCACAAATAGTAATTACAGATGAATGAAGAATAAACACCAACCTCCTTGTTCCTCCTGTTTTATTCTCCGGGTTTCTGGTTCCTCGTGTTTTACTCTCCGGGTTTCTGGTTCCTCGTGTTTTACTCTCCGGGTTTCTGGTTCCTCGTGTTTTACTCTCCGGGTTTCTGGTTCCTCGTGTTTTATTCTCCGGGTTTCTGGTTCACTTGTGTCCTCCTCACTCTCCTCTTTAACAGACAGCATCTTCACAGCAGCAGATCTCAGTTCAGATGATACTCCTCTAGATATTCCTGCTTGCCTCCCAACTTAGTCACGACTGTGAAGATGAGAATACAGGTCTTTATTGACCTGATTCATGTATTTCTCTTTTTACAGAAACAACATTTCTAATCGTTTGTATTAAAACAGCATCAGGACAAAACAATAGAGAGCGCGGTGAAACTAATCTTCTTCCTCTGATGTTTAATGGTGTTTGGCAAAAAAAGTATGTGTTTGAGCGCCACCCGCTGGACTGGAGTGTGAAGCGGCGAGAGGAGAGGATCCCTGTCACTCTCATTAGAGCTTCATCCCATACAACGATCATTCTATGCAGCGCAAACAACCACACATTCATATCAGTTCATCTTCTTTTTCTTAAACCCTTTCAATGGTGAGTTTAAAATATTCTAGCGGTCCCCCCAGAGTGAATTTTTTTAGGCAAGCGTTATTTTAGAACGTTTCCCCTTACTGTTTCCATGGCGACGCGTCATGCTTGTCACGTGACACACCGCGGCCACAATAACTGTATGACAGATGGATCGCTTTTTTATTCAAAATATTCATAAACTTGCTTACCATATCAGCTATCTGATGCGCTTATTGCAACTACATTTAATCTTTTTCTCATCAAATAACCAGATTAATGAATAGCTCGACACAGCTCCTACCGGGGCAGTATAGACAGCACTTTCTTCTGTGTAGACCAGCGGTTCTCAAAATTACTATAACCTACCGTATTTTACAGACTGTAAAGTCACGTTTTTGATACATGCTGTGATTTATTCCAAGGTGACTTATATGATGCATTTAACGTCAAATAAACTAAATGTAGACGAGTAGGTGCGTCAAGTAGGCTTTGCTGTGTATTGGTTCATGTTTGTGGCGTGCTCCAGAAAGATGCTCAATGAGACCGAGACACGCTAAAGCAGCACATTTTGCTGTTCACTTTATTTTTCAAAGGCATGACATTTTGTTGTCATTTTGCACGTACACAAATAAAACATATATATTTTTACCATACGACCCTATTATTTACCCTGCTGAGGAAAAAATCCAAGTGAACATCAAAGGCCTACTCAATATTAATTAAATAAACTCAGCAAAAACAAAGTTATGACTGCTGTACACTTCAATACTGGTCTGCTGTTTAGTTTACTGAGTTTATTTAACCCATCACAATTTATTGGAACTGTGTGAACTATGGGGGTAACTTGTTACTCTAAAGCAGGGGTGCCCAACCCTGCTCCTGGCGATCGACTGTACTGCAAAGTTTTGCTCCAACTCTAATCAAAGACACCTGCCTTTAATGTTTAAATGATCCGGAAGACCCTAATTAGTTGCTTCAGGTGTGTTTGATTAGGATTGGAGCTGAACTTTGCAGGACAGTCGATCGTCAGGAGCAGGGTTGGGTAACCCTGCTCTAAAGGCTTATTACATTCCTTTTTTGAAACACACACACACTGTGATTATGGTTGAGTTTGCAATGTTTGCTGCTCCTGCTGTGATTCTTCTTCAGATCATCTGTGTAAGAAGAGCTGGTGAGTTTTTTAAGCCTCACACAATCTAAATTCTGGCCAGAGGAGAACTGACCCCCGACTGAGCCTGCTCTTTCACAAGTGTTTTTTTTCTCCCTCCATTTCTGTCACCAATGGAGTTTGGTTCCTTGCCACTGTCACCTTTGTCTTGCTTAGTTGGGGACACTTAATTTCTGGCAGGATTGTTGACTTGATTGCACAGACACTATTTGAACTGAGCTGAGCTGGACGATTGCATCACTGAATCAACAATGAATTACCTTAACTGGAAAACTGACTCTATATTTTATCCTCTTGCATTATCAGCACAGGTTTTTCCTGTTTAACACTCTAAAGCTGCTTTGACACAACCTGCATAAAGGTGACTTGACTTGATCTGCAATCATGAGAGCTCAGTAAATGCTTTTGTGTTGAATTATTTTGCAGGGAGGAAGAACTCACAGTACCGAGAAGAAATAGTGATGATTCCAATATTTTATTTTGCAATATATATTTTACAACAGTAAGCTGGTGGTAAAGACAAGAAAATAAAAGAAACGAACGGGTGGCGTTACGGCCAGTGGTGGAAAGGGTACTGAAAATTTTTACTTAAGTACAAGTACTGTTACATCGCTGAGATAATACTCAATTACAAGTAAAAGTACAAAGTACTCCTCTCAAAACTACTCCGAGTGCTAGTTACTTTTTAGCCGGCGATATTAAATGAATTACCAAAACATATTCATATCAAATATGTGGATAATAGCTACTTTGAACAAACCCCACTTTTATCTTATTGACAAGTACGTGAATTAGTGGTTATGATACAGGAATTTTTAACTTCAATACCTTGAAAAATCTCAATATCAAAGTACCACCTAATGTAGTGTTGTGCCACCTAAACGGTGCAGTGAAGTATAGTTTGAAAGGCTGCGTGTTCGGCTGTAAGCATACGCTGAGCAGTTTCAGACAGCTCACCAGTAGCGCTTCATTGCACGAAAACGCACACAATTATGTTAAAATGCGTGATTTTGGCGAGTTACCTTGTGAACGTAGTCTTAAATGAGTTATAAAGTCTTAAATGACAGTAAAGAGTTGGGAGAAAATCGGATATGTGTCAGATCCGCGTCATATGCATCATTCAGATCTCCTGTGAATGGACACTTAAAGCTCGTTTCATTGGTGTCAACAGACTGAGGTTTTTTTTTTTTTTTTTTTTTTACAAATGTGCATTTTTTCTGACTTTATACTTTCAATTTTTTTTATTCTATTTCTATATATACAGTAATTTTATGAATAAACAGAATAATGTTAGAATTAGAAATAAAAATGTGGTGATTTGCATCAGTTGTTTACGGTAGGTAGATGTGGATGCTTAAATGTGTCAATATGAGTCAAAGACAAAAAGGTGTTTATAAAGCAATAAATTAATAAAAAATAAATATCAGGCATATTTAGAACAAATAATGTGATGACATTAAAATGATATATTTAAGGATTATATATAGTGTAGCCCCAAAAAATTCATTAAATGATATTTTAAATCTTTATATTTTGCCACTATCCTTCATATTACTAGGTTTTACCCAATTGTTAGCAATACATTTTCAAATGTAATAGAATATAGTCACTTTTCTTTTACATATTTTAACAAGTACAGGTCAGAATAACTGTTGTTTCATTTTTACATAAATATATCTGTTATGCTGAATGATGACATTATTTAACCTATATTTTGACATTTTGTTTTCACAAAAATTATTTGAAACATATAGACACTTGCATTTAATTGATTTTCTATGTATATAAAATCACTTTTGTAAATTTAATTTGATGCAGACACTAAAATTTGACATCTGGACACAGTAATAGATATATTAAAAACTGATATATTCAGATCAACTCAAAGATAGAGTTCCTCTCCAAAGAACAACGTCCAAAAGATTTATTTTTATATAATTTTGCTTCATGATTTAACTGTTATTGTTGTGATTTCTTTTGCATTATAAAACAATTGAACATAATATGAAACTCATATGTATCACTTGCTCTTTCATGAAGGAAAGCAGAGGTTTTTACAAACTGTTCTTGTTCAGGAAGCTGAGGAAGAGACTGTAACACTTTTAAGAGAGACGGAGTTATATTTTTAATTATGTTCTTCACTGTGTAAGGTCTCTGTGCAACAGATCCACCAAAAAGCTGCAGAATAAACACATTCCCAAAACCGGATCTAAAGATCCCCCCACACAGCCATCACGAGTTCTTAAAACTGACAATACCCTCATTGTCTGGATTAGTTTCCTCTCAACATTATAGTAGCTAATTCAATTAAGGGAAAAGAGAACTCCTTTGTCTCGACGAACTGAAGAGCCATTTAAGCAACATACGGTTAAGTGCTACCTCGTGACCACTATGCATAAATCCATAGACCCTTTTAGGGCTGACATCACGACTACGTCACAGCTCTAGCTGGAGGCAAAACAAAGTAAACATTCAAAAACAGGTCCAATTCAACAGATTGAAAGTGATAATGTCTGTCAATTTGACTGGAATCTATCTCTTTGGAGAAGAAAAATAACAATTATAATCATGACAACACTGGGCAAAACTGTTGAAGTGTCTCACGTCAGATATGTTAGAGTGCAATTCTTACCTGTGATCGTGACCTCTTCAGCTCTGCAGCCTTTTTTTTTTTTTTACTGATTTTGGCAAACCTGAATTTAAAAGAGTCCCTTGCCCACATACATCTGGTTAAATGGATAAAAATTGTCTCATTTTACACACAACACCATACATTTTAACACATAAGTGGAAAATTTAATAATTATTGAGTTTGAAAGTGGTGGCAAAAGCCCAAAAGGCTAAATTTAGACATTGTCTTATTTCGGGGGTTGCTATGTTTCACCTCTCAATACACAAATCAACGTGTTATGTTACATAGTCCGAATTTCCCCACTCTTGCAGAGTATAATTTAGACATGATTTCTATAACAAGAATATGATATGTTGAATTCTCAAACACAAACATACTAAACAGGAATAGAAAACTATGAACCGTTCAATAGTTATTAAAATGACATACACAATCAGTGATTAGAACATGACAGTCAAATGTGTTAGTTGTGTAAGATTATTGATGCCATTTGGCTGGATCAGAAGAAGGTCACAGTCTGAAAAAACAAGGAACTCTCACGAGAATCAACATCTGAACTCTGTCTCGCAAGCCTAAAGCAAGACACCCAACTGAGAGAAACAAAAGCTCCACACCTTCACTCTTCCCCTCTCTCCCCTCATTTCCATCTGAACACAGGACACTGCAGAGATCACCAAAACCACCTTTCTTAAATCAGAGTTTATAACAATGCAACAATTCATGTTTGATACCGTTTGAAAGGTCTCTGTGTGTCTGGTAAAGGGGTTCCATTCTCTTAACAGACATGCCTCCATTTGGAGGATGTTTTTCTTAGTTTTGTATTTAAAGGATTGCAGCAAAAGGGTCAGGGCGATTCTGTAGCCAGAATGCCCGTAGTACAGAGTATCTCCACATACTCTGTACTATGTATTTTTCTAATACATCTAATACATTTAATCTCAGATATGCATTTTACTCTTAGATTCGTCTTTGAGAGTTTGATGTCTTGTATTGATTTGATATCGTTGAATTGGCTGTGGAAATAATTTGCATAATACATATTTACCTGACTGATAATAAATTGTTACATTTAATTCATTCTGATTACTCTGAAGTTATTTTTTCAAGTAGATTAAGTGAAGGCGTATGTTTCCGCAAATCTGCGACCAGGGTTAAGTGCATACTAAATCTCAGGTTAGATGGAGCATGGGCACATCAAGTGAGATTATGGGTTTCTGACTAACCGCTTGACCTTAGTTTAAGTTGTACTCAGTTACGTTAACCATGTGTATGATTTCAGCTTTAATTAAGCTGTACGTGGTTATAATAACTATCGGGGTCGAGACTAAGGGTCTAGAAGAACTGCTGATTATTGTTTGAGCATTACATGGGTAATTGTAGGGGGCTAAACAAACCTACTATTTAAAGTAAATAGTATTAGCCATAAACCTCTGAATAAGAATCAAACTGGCGAGTTTGTGATCGTGGAGCCCACGCATAGCGGCCGCCGTGAGGCATCCTAAGCGACATAGATTCCTAATGAACGAATGAATAAAAATCATGGGGAAAACGGAATGATCAAACACTCACCTAAATTTATTGAGTAACAAACAACTCTCTTAACCCTTTTCATTTTTGGAGTCAGATGAATAAAAGAGGTAAAACACAAGAAAATGTATTTAATTTAATATTGTTGTGCTGTATGAAAGGAAAGACAGCAACACGCGAGAATCCTTCTTCCGGATCACTGGCTACCGTCGTTGGACCAGTGGGCGGACCTTACAGTTGCATTCATCATATGGAGTTATGCATCGGAATGATATTTGTTCATTAGTCCTTTTAGTCATGTAGAGACAGTCTCTGTGTCGTTCTGTGACTCTGAGGACGTGTTCTGTGAGGAACAAAAGGTCAAAAGAGTCTAGAAGGAATCTCAGTCTGGTTAAGTTTATCCGAGGAAGTCTTTAGCTCGTGATTTCCATCATGGATTTACATTTGATGGTCATGCTGTGCGTCTCTTTGAACATTTATCTTGGTTACTTGCCCCAAATTTTACACTAATTCAACTCAGGAAGGAGATTAAGTGTTATTTTGTTTTAATGCTGCAAGCTGTTCAAAGCTGTGAAAGAGTTGGTTGGTTAGGCTTACTTCTGGTTGGTGATGGGATCTGATTTATGATCATCCTGTTGTCTTGGGCCTCTTTGTGGAATTCAGCTCTTTGTGTTTCAACGTTCTGTTTGAATCTTAAATTGTCTGATTTACTCTGATACGCTACATTGTTGATACAATGAGTAATAAGTTTAAAGGGGTCATCGGATGCAAAATTGCCTATAATGATAAAAATCCCCCCAATGTGTTTTTTTTTTAATCCCCATAAATCATAACCCCTTTCTCAGATCAAGCCGTTCACAAATTCTTGGCTGTGTGACATCACACAGACCCAAGCTCCTCCCGCGATTGTTGATTGACACTGGTGTTTTAGCACAGACCCGCTCTGAGTGAGCTGTCATCAGTCCGCCATTGTTTCGACGCCAGAGCAGATGTGGACAAGAATGTCACCTAAGCAATTGGGGAGTACATTTGTTGGATTTAATAATAGACCTGATAACATTCAGGCACACTCTGTTTAAATCTAGATTAAAGACACATCTTTTCACACAAGCATTCACACAATGTATCTCGTAACTTGGTACTTCAGCTATATCTGGTCAACATCTTTGCTTGGTTGGAATAGCAGCTACGCTAACTTCACCTCTATTTGCTTCTCTGTTTCTGCCACAGGACTTGCATTCCGAGGCAACTAGGAATTAGACAAGCTTCAGTCTGGATCCAACTAGGGCTGCACGATAAATCGCATGCGATATTTAACACGCATCTTATCAGTAAAGCCGGTTCTGTAATCAGCGGTAAATCTCCATCACGTGTGTGCTTTTACATTGAGCAGCATTAACTACACAGAGCCGTTGTTCACTGATGAGCTGTGCAAAACCACGTTCATATTCGCGCAATTTTTTGCGCATCTCGTCAGTGAACAACGGCTCTGTGTAGTTAATGCTGCTCAATGTAAAAGCACACACGTGATGGAGATTTACCGCTGATTACAGAACCGGCTTTCTGACAAGTTGCGCATTAAATATTGCATGCGATTTATCGTGCAGCCCTAGATCCAACCCTTACAAAGACCTGAGATGACCGACCACATGAGAAGAGAAGATGCCAACCCCCAGAAGACTACATCTTTTTAGCCAAGCATTCACATAATGTATCTCGTAACTTGGTACTTCAGCTATATCTGATCAAATGCACATTTTCATTATTTTGCTTGGGTTGAACGCATCTTTGCTTGGTTGGAATAACAGCTACGCTAATTTCGTCTCTATCTGCTTCTCTGTTTCTGTCACAGGACTTGCATCCCGAGGCAACTAGGAATTACACAAGCTTCAGTCTGGATCCAACCCTTACGAAGACCTGAGATGACCGAACACCTGAGAAGAGAAGATGCCAACCCCCAGAAGACTTCAGATGATGCTAACCCTGGAACAGCATATACAACTACCAAATTTTGCTTAATCACAACCACAAAGTTTAATCGCAACATATAATCATTGCAGTTGTAGGAAAACACCGTCTGTTTGATTACGTGTAATTTGTAACTAACTGCATGATTCTTACTGAACATTTCTGCCATAGTCACCACTAATAACATACTCCTAAATATAATGTAGAAACTTTATATTTTCTGTAAAGCTGCTTTGCAATGATTGGTATCGTGAAAAGCGCTATACAAATAAACTTGAACTGAATTGAATGTAAATATTAACACAGCAGT